AAACCCTGCTCTAGGTATTACAATATATATCTTTAACTTAAATATTTGCCCACATTATATAAAATGTAAAAACCTTAAAATTGTACAAGTAGATTTACCCAAACAGCCACACCATAGCAGTCACCTTTAGTAAAAGCCACAATTTCCAAACAGAATAGATCTACATACACTATTAACATCACAGAGGCAAGCTGTAACCTTTATTCAAATAATCACGTATATGTTAAAGACATTAAAAAGGAAAAAAAAAAATAGCCTGTTGTATTTACCTAGGTATTTAGCATTTCCAATATTCTTCAATAAGTCTAAATATTCAAGTTTCCCTCTGGTATTATTTCCCTTCAGTCTGAAGAAGTTCCTTTAACATTTCTTATGGTAAAGTCTTCTTGGCAACAAATTCTTAGTTTCCTTTTAATCTGAAAATGTCTCACCTTCATTCTTGAAAGATACTTTCACCACATACAAAACTCAAGGTTGGCAGGTTTTGTTCCTTTCAGCACTTTACAGTTTTCTCTTCTGGTTGCCATGATTTCTGATCAACAGTCCACGCTCATTTAAATTGTTGTCTCTGTGTATGTAATGTGGTGTTCTTACCTGGAAGCTTTCAAGATCTCTTCACCATTGTTTTTTGATGGTTTGACTATGATGTGCCTATGCATGGTTTTCTTCAAATTTATCCTGTCTGGGGCTTGCTGAATCTTGTTGAATTTATATTCATTCATCAAATTTGGAAAGTTTTAAATATTATTTCTTTAAATATATTTTCTACCTTACTCTCTCTAGTCTCTCCTCGTTCTCCAATTACACATATGCTAGGCATTTTGATATTGTTCCACATCTCTGAGGCTCTGCTTATTTTAGTGTAACTTCTTCCCTCCCTCTTCTTTCTACTAAATAATTTCTATTGCTCTAATTTCAAGTTCATTGGTTCTAACCTCTGTCATCTCTGCTTTTTAGCTCAGCTAGTGAATTTTTAATTTCAGGTTAATATTTTCTATTTCTCTGTTGATATTATCTGTCTTTTCTTTGGTTTTAAGCATATTTTCCTTTCTGAGAAATTGGACAGTTTTAAGAGCTGCTTTTAAGTCTTTGTGTGATAATTTGAACATATGACCCATCTTGGGGTTGGTACTTGTCAACTTTTTTCTTTAGAATGGGTCATAATATCCTAGCTCAATTTTAGATTGTATCCTGGACATTGTCAATGTTATGTTGTGGAAACCCTGCATTCTATTATAGTCTTCCGAAGAGAGTTCATGGTTTTTGTTTCAGTAGGCAAATAACTTCATTAGATTTAAACTGCAAATTCTGTCACACCTGAGGTGCATGGCAGCTCAGATCTTGGTTCTGACTGATCTCAGTCTACCCCATGCAAGCAAGGTTCGAGATCAGCCCGAAGTTCAAGGCTGCACACAAAATCAAGGTTCCCCTTCTCTGGCTCTCTGGTTGCCCCAAACCGTTCACCCGGCTCCTCCCACCAGAAGAAGGTGGGCTTTCTATTGGAACGTTAGCTGTTCCACATTATCAATGCCACAACTATGCTGACCTGAGGACAAAGCCGCCCAAATAGAAATCCCACTCTGGCATTCACTGTCTCTATGTTTTGATTCCTCCAAAATAATGCTGCTTTCTGTTCAATTACCAGAGCTTTCAGATGGCAGTTTTTTGTGTTTTATTCATAGTCTGTCATCTATCTCTGCAGGAGGTCTTGTCAGATAGGAGCTACTCAATCAAAAGGAGGACCTCATCACCTTTTTATATATAATTTCTAAAGTGGTAGATTGGGGGAGTACACATATACTGTGTATGTGTACTTCAACAAAGTACCTGAAATAATTTTTCATGATACCCTAGAATAAAAAGCATGCTTAACATAGGAGGAACTCTAGAGATCACTTTGTTCAATACTTTCATTTTGTAGACATGGAATCGGAGTCCCAGAAAGTCAAGCAGCCAATAATATAACTGGGATGCAACCCACAATATCCTGATAGCTAGTTTTAGTACTAATTCAATACCACACATTTCTTTTGGACATAATAATGAAGTAGGGACTGGCTAATATTATAAAGTTTTTACATGGTTAAAAAAAAAAAACTTACTCAAAGAATATTAAGTGATAGATGTCTAACCTGGCAGAGGATTTTTAATGATACATAGAAGGCTTTCCTGTCCTTCTGCCCTATCCTGAATAAATACACATTCCTACATTCATTCACTCAACAAATATTTACTCTTCGTTGATCATATGCTAGCAATACAGTAGAAAACAAGAATGACATTGTTCCTGCCCTTGTAAAGTTAATATTCTAGCAGCTTATATTCTACGCCGTGAAAGAGAAAATAAACAATGAATAAGAAGCTGTCCACACTGTTGACTCCCTCCTATGTGAAACTTGCTCTTTTCTTGGATTTTTCCTCCATTTACCTCTTAAATGGTTCAATCCTTAGCATCCTTTTTACTTTGGATGCTCCTTAGGCAATCTCAGTTTCTCCTCATGGTTTCTACAATGTATTTGCTGGTTAGTCTCAGTTTTTCATTTTTAACACATCCCTCAAGTAAGCTCTAGACTATCTCTTGTATACATTCAATGATATGTACCATACAGGCCATTCGAATTGCCATGCCCCAAACTAAACTGAACTCATTCCCTCTACACATATTTCTTTTTCTGCCTTTCCTATCTCAGTGGTAGCATCCTTTTCACATCCAGTAAGTGGGTCACCAACGCCATTTAATTCTACTTTCTGAATCTTTCTGTGCTATATCCAACCACCTTTATATTATTACAGTAGCCTCTTAAGCAGTTTCTTGGCATTTTGCTTCAGAATTGATTTTCTGTAACACAAATTTAATTATGTCATTTTCCCTGTGCCTTGTGGATACTTTTGTCAGCACTTATTTTTATTGTACTTGATTACTTAAATAATTGCTAGACTTTGAACAAGTAGAAGGAAGGAACCATGCTTTGCTCATCTTAAATTTCCATAATCTAGTAATACCTCAAACAAGGCATTGAAGATGTTCTCATTAAATCTGTGGATTACAAAATTTGCAGGAAAATACCAGAACTTCAAACATACAAAGTGCTTAAATAATTAGCTGAGCCAAAAAGAAAATGTCTACAAGGAGAAGTACTGAATCTGAGTAAAAATTAGTATGTAAATAAAATCACAGAAACATAGGGAGGATCCCTTAGTAACACATGTGAGATGCAGGAATTTTCACTTATTTCATTAGTAACTTAATTCTCAAAAATGCTGATTCAAACTTAAGCTGCCTTAAAGTACCAGTCATAGTTCCAATCTATACCAAGTGCTATGGGTACCATATGTTTAAGAGAATAAATGACAAACTGAAGGCCCTGTTGGGAAGAGCAACCAGGACAGTGTGGGGACCTGAGGTCACTGTTACTAGAAGAAAAGTTGAGGTAAATACTGGCATTTAATCTACAGAAAAGAAAACTTCACGGGGACATAAAAGTTCTTAATTTGAGGAACAGTTCATGGTAGAGGAATAAGATAAATTGGGTAACACAAGGTAACATCAGAAACATTGGCTCTGTGTACAGGGAGACAGAGCTCAGCTGAGCATAGGAGCTGTCCCCAAATGGGGCATCATTGTGTTTTTGCGAATTCTCCCGCACTAAGAGTTCAAGCAGAGGCTAAACAACAACATCATGGTTGTTTTTTCGAACAGGAGATTTCTGCACAGAATAGGAGACTAACTTGAATGTTGAGTTGTAGAATGTAGAATTACACTGGTTCACTCACAGCACCTATCTCCAAGATAAATCACAGGCAGGTCATCTGTATGGACAGTTTTGGGTAACCAAGCAAATCATCCAGACATCTCTCTTTCTGACCACCATGTGACAGCCATTTGCCACTTAGGAAATAATTGAGGATTCCCCTAAGGTAACCATTAGGTGGCAGCTGACACAACAGAAAAGCATCATGCATTTAAGAGTGTTTACTATGCAGGCACCTGGGTGGCTCAGTCGTTTGGGCGTCCAACTTCGGTCAGGTCATGATCTCACAGCTCACGAGTTCAAGGACTGCGTCGGGCTCTGTGCTGACAGCTCAGAGCCTGGAGCCTGCTTCGGATTCTGTGTCTCCCTCTCTCTGCCCCTCCCCCACTTGTTCTCTGTCTCTTTCTCTTTCTCTCAAAGATAAATTAAAACATTAAAAAAAATTTTTTTTTAAAGAATGTTTACTATGCAGTTTGTAATGCAATAAAAACACTAAATGTAAGTGTAAATACACGTAGTTATCCACAAACTACACAAAAATGCCCCATAAATAAGAATGTGAACTTCTTGTTCCTTTGACACTTTGCTTGCCATGAACATCTTTATTCTTTAAATTACATAGCACCCTGGTCCCTACTTCTTCATCCCCATGCCCCGCCCCACCCCCACCGGGTCCATTTACATAGGTGTGATGGAAAAAGAAAGAAGTAAAATAGTGAAGAATGAGAAAGAAAACCTCGTTCTAGTAACATGGTCTTAATAACCCAAGTTCTAAAAACATAAAAATTATCCCACAGAAACAAACGTGATCTATGTTTCTCTAATGCTGTCTAAGGTACACAGTGGGTTCAACAGACTTCTTTGGGATAGCTCAGACCCTAATTACTACATATAAAATTGTATCTATGGAGACACTTTTAAAATAATCAGCAATTAATTCAAACATGTCAGGATTACCTTTATGAAGATCTTAATGTTTTATCAATGTCATTTTCGAAATTAAAAAAGTAATATTTGGAATACAGCAAATCTACTAGTGGAAAAATCACTTGAGCTACAGCATTGAAAATAAATTACGCAAATCTCTGAATGGCAGAAGTTGCATTACTAATCACTACCAGAAATTTCTTTTAGGCATAGATAAGCCAACAACACCTTATTACTTGTCAAAAGGAAGTGATCATTTTCACAGGTAAGGTGCTGGGTTATTTCTCATTACATATAGATCTCTCAGAAAAGTTAACTCACAGCTGAAGAGTAGAGTTCAAACTCTTGCTCAGGAAGGAAAGAATGCCAGCCATCTTCTATCACTTCAAACATGGGTCGGTAAAAGAAAGGGTACATCAGAGTGATAGAGTCCAAGGTAGACAGTGCCTAGGGCATAAAAAGGAAATTAAAGAAAGGAAAAGGAACATACTGCAATTTCAACACTTTCTAACTGCCAAATTGGTATTAAATACGATCAATAATGATACACACCCAATATATTTCTCCAGCATTGTACTTACCACTAGATAGTTTATTGAAGCTAATTTCCATGCTTTTAGCATCTAACAAGGTATGTATCTGGCACATAACATACACTCAGTTATCATTTGCTGAATGAACACAAGGACAAGAAAAGTGTGTACACCTATTCTAGGAGAAAAACTAAATAACTCCTTTTGACACCACTTAACAAAGCCTAATAAAAAGGTCCAAATATTTCTGGAAATCAGAAAATAAACACGTTTTGTTAGCAAACAAGGTCATGGCTCAAAATCCCAGCCATCAACTGTATCAACATATGTAAATTACATAAAATCAGTGTCTGTTTATAACCATAAATAAGGGTGTCACAGGTAAGTGGCCAGAGTCAGACTAGAGCCAAACTGCTAGACTCAAATTCCAGATCCCAGTGCAATAATGGTTAACTAATGTAACCACTCTAATGCCTCCATTTCCTCAGCTCTAAAATGGGGGGAATTAAAGTACCTATCTCATAGAGCTATTGGTAGCATTAAGAAAGATAACGTATATAACAGGCCTGTTAATAATAGTGCCTGGCATATGATAAACCCTGAAATTGATCTTGGCAATTATATGCTTCACATATCATATGCACCACATATGCTCCATCAATGTTCATGTTCTACCTCCTTAGAATGATATGCCATTTGGTCATGTGTCATATTATCTTTATGTTACAATGACCCATTCTCAACCTGCGGCATTAACTCTGTGGTCCCCAAAAGAGCCTGTGTTCATCTGGAACTCTTGAATTCTGGGTAACACCACCAAGAAAATCTGACTAAATGGGAGGAACAGACAGATGAAATATCCTCCAGGTGATGGAGGCTATTTCAACCTTCTGACAGGGGAGTTATGAAAAGCACTTCTATGGCTGCAAAAAAAGGCACCAAAATCAATTAGCATAATTCAAATTCCAGGAACTATGGAGACACTCTTCTGGAGGAGGACGGGGCCCCAACATCATGCTAGCTCCCCGAAACTCTTAGAATAAAGCTACCTCCCTCTAGGTCACAGAAGGATCAGTCTCACAAAAGAATGGGCCCAAGCCTTAGTAAAAAATAGACTGGACATGTAGTTCAGCAGCTTAACAAAAACATCCCCATCCAAAGCTATTCTTCTGTCTGTTCATAAATCATGACACCTTCCCCCCAGAGCTCATAAAATAGAAAATATGGAGAAGCAGGGCTGGATAATCCATTATCCACTTCTGTAAAGTCTTTGGCTTCCAATCACACTAAACAGAAACAGAATGGCCAGTGTCCACATCTGACCTAGGCCAGAACTGTCATCGTTCAGGACAAACATTATTTTATTTAATTGGTTTATTTTTTTAATTGGTTTAAGATATTTTTTGCAATATTTAAAAAATCTTTTTGGGGCGCCTGGGTGGCTCGGTCGGTTAAGCGTCCGACTTCGGCTTAGGTCATGATCTCGTGGTTCACGAGTTCGAGCCCCGTGTCGGGCTCTGTGCTGACAGCTTGGAGCCTGCAGCCTGCTTCCGATTCTGTGTCTCCCTCTCTCTCTGACCCTCCCCCCATTTATGCTCTGTCTCTCTCTGTCTCAAAAATAAATAAACGTTAAAAAAAAAAATTTTTTTTTTAAATCTTTTTTCATTTTTGCTGAAGTAAAACTACCAAAACTAAGAGATATTTCAAGTGATGATCTGATACACTGTGAAAGGACTCCCCCATTGAGTCAATTAACATGTCCATCACCTCACATATTTACCTTTTGTTGTTAAGACCATTTAAGTTCTACTCTCTTAGAAAATGTCTGTTATACAATACAGTGTTATCAACTGGAGGGACCATGGTATATATTAGATCTTAAGACCTTATTCATCTTATAACTGCAAGTTTGTAACTTATACCAACCTGTCCCTATTTCCCCAGCCCCCAACAACCACTTTTCCACTCTGTTTCTATTAAGTTTTGTTTTTGTTTTTTCGGATTCCACATATAAGTAATAACATGCAATTATTTGCCTTGTCTGTCTGATTTCACTTGACACAAAGCCCTCCAATTTCATTCATGTTGTCACAAATATTAGGATTGCTGTTTTTTAAGGCTGAATCATATTCCATTATATATATAGATTACGTGTCACGTTTTCTTTATCCAGTCATCTGTTGACAGATACTTAGGGTATTTCCATATTTCGGTAATATGAATAATGCTGCAATGAACAGTGGAGTACAGATACCTCTTTGAGATAATGATTTTGTTTTCTTCGGCTATATATCCAGAAGTGAGACTGCTGGGTCACATGGTAGTTCCATTTTTAATTTCTTAAGGAACCTCCTACTGTTTGCATACAGGTACAATCATGATTTTTTTTTCTAATTTTTTAAAATGTTTTATTTATTCTTGAGAGAGAGACAGTATGAGCGGGGAAGGAGCAGAGCAAGAGAGGGACACAGAATCTGAAGCAGGCTCCAGGCTCTGAGCTGTCAGCACAGAGCCCGATGCGGGGCTCGAACTCACAGAGGGTGAGATCATGACCTGAGCCGAAGTCGGACGCTTAACCAACTGAGCCACCCAGGTGCCCCGTGATTTTTAATGCAAGTCAGCAGTCACTTTAGCAGTTAATAAGCACTCATATTCTGACTTGTTGTGATCACAATTTGTATCGCTAGAGGTACGACTTTTCCTTTAAACTCATTAATGCTGAAAGAACTGAAAACATTTCAACTCCAAAAGACAGTAGAAACTACATAGAAAAAAGCTTCATCAGCCTTCCTACTACGATTTAGAAAAACGAGCACTTGCAAGTTATTACTCCAGTGGGATTCTATTTATGGCAGCAGAATATATTTGGGTATATGGATTCTTGATTGCAAAGAACAGTTCAACTGTGCTATATAAGAAATTCACTTATTACTTCCAAGTTATATCAAGATATATAGGGGAGATGGGAAAGAAATTAGATACCAGCAAAAGGCAAGAGGCCACGTTCACTATGGACATTTACTACGTTGTAAAAATAACCAGTAGAGCATTCACTTCCTAAGGTCAAATTATGAGAATGGCTCATAATTCATAGCTTCTTTTCAGCTGTAAGGGTTTCTATATAATCAGTTTCTAAAGGATTTTAGGTACTATATACAGCTAATGAAACAACTGATTAGTGTCAGATGCTAACAAAGCTAAGTAAATGCAATCAGAAAGTGGGTTAATAGCTTTGCCCTATATTTCTTCACCACTATCCTTCACCATATGCGATTTCACTGACACCCACCAACCAGCTATCTTGTAACCCATAAAACAGATAAAAAGAAAAATGCAGACTGGCCAGTGAAAATCCAAACCCACAACTGAAAAAAAACAAAAACAAAAACAAAAAACAGGCTGAAATGAAATGGGTCAGTAGCATTTCCTTGCCCAAAGAGCAGGACAGTATTTCAGCTTAACTGCCTAGAAACCACAGTGTGTTTCTTACCCATGTTAGCGAATGTGGCCAAATCAACATTACTCTGTCACTTCCAAATGACAGATATGTAAGACAAACAGTTCAGCTCATCTTCTCATTTCCTTTAAGGAAAATTTAGCAAAGGCAGAAGGTAAAATGGTTACATGCCATTTTCTCAGCACCACAACAGTTGTTTTTTTTATTTCTCTATTCTTGTTTAGAAACCAAACATGATCCTAGTTCTAGATTTTTAAACCTTTCTGCCTCCTTTTAATAGTTAAGCCACTAGCATTTGTTTTGGATACAAAGACCAGATTAGTCACTCATAGCCGGAGCAAAAAGAAATCAGTGTGTCTATAATTATCTAGAAAATACCATAAACATAAAGTTAATTACTATAATTTAGTAGCAATGATTTAAAATAAGGCAATTTAAAATTTGAGTGTAAACCAAAATAGTTGGTTTGAATGGGGAAGAAAATGAAGTGAGCTCCTCAATTTAAATATTAAATTATCCAAGTAAAATTTCTATTATTTGAAATCTGAAGAGACAGTCAATACTGTTTATACAAACATAAAACAAACACACTTTTTAGTCTTAGGCAAACATTTGCCTAAGACAAGCAAACATTCTCTGTTTGCTTCAGACTTGCTAAAAACAAACACAGGGCTATAATCACTGGTGATAATTATTTGCTTTGATAAAAGAAGTAACTTCTAACAAAAGCCTTACCATATACACATACAATGGATTATCATCCAGCCTTAAAAGGGAAGGAAATTCTGTCAAATGCTACAATGAGTGAACCTGGAGGAATAAGGAACCCAGAACACTAAAAACTGCTATAAGTCAATAAAATCCTAATACATTCCTATAACAATGAATCCGGGTGAGGCTTTTCCTAACAATTTTCAATATGTGAGTCATAGAACATGACCAAATATCTAGTAAAACAAACATAAGAGCTATACTGAGTAAGAATATAAGGTTCTTTTTTATTACTATTTACTTTCAGCAGATTTTGCTTCTGAAACATTTACCTCAATGGAACTGGCAATATTCAAACATTCCTCCATTCCAGGAATATCCAACTGAATTATTCGAAAGTCTTTACATTTTATGATGATGGTACCCAGTGGTCCCACAAATCTGTAAAAAATTACAAATTATGCTTAGGAACATATACATTTCTATCTTTTTAAAAAAAGTATATTTATTTATTTTGAGAGAGAGGAAAAAGGAATCCCAGGCAGACTTCACACTGTCAGTGTGAATCTCAATACAGGACTCAAACTCACAAACCAAGAGATCATGACCTCAGCTGAAATCAAGAGCTGGATGCTTAACAAACTGAGCCACCCAAGCACCCCTATATATGTCTCTATCTTTAAGCATATGATTATTTCCTTGAAAAAAGAATGTAGAAAAAAGAATTACCATCTACATTCACCTTTCTTCTCCCCAATTAGTCTAGTTAGGGAAGAGGCAAGCCTGCATTACTAAAATGTGAGCCATAAATTATTTTAAATATATGTACTTAAAAACATTTCAAATTCATAAAGTAATTCATACTAGGCCAATTCATTTAATGAAAATTATTTGGGACCTTGCTTCAAAGAATGAAGAAAAAAGATCTGTAATTAATGTGATAAGTGTTTGTACAGAGGTATTTCTGAAACACAGGAAAACACTTCATTTCAGATTTTACTTACTTCCAAGTTTAATAGTTGATTTTAAATATAAATATCTCTTTTTGTCTTTAAAAACTATTAGCTTGCAATATCTATTCTAAATCAATGTCATATCTAATCACAAATTTTGTATCACTAAATTTTGTGCAAATGTAACTTTACCTTTATTGGAATTTTCGTCTTTTATTGTAGTTGTTTTGTTTTGTCAGTACTTGCTAACAGCTCTGATTTTTCTTTTGCTTTGCCACTGGTTGGCCCTAAATCTTTTCCATTAATAGTTCTGGGTATTCCTTAACTAGGAATTCTTAGATTGTCCAAATGCTGTTCATTTAACCTACTTTTTGCCCAGTTTAGAAAGACATCTCCTACAGCCACTCTTCTGAACGCCATCTGAATTGTAAGCATCCCTATGCCTCTCACCACTGCGTTGTTAATTTGGACAAGCAGACGTTATCGGCACGGGTCAAATCCTAGTAAAGATAATTCCACCAGACATCTACAACCTATCAACACACTAGAATGCCGCTTATAAAATTTATTTTGAAAACTCACATTCTTGGCACTTCTACTTCTGGCAAAGGTAGAGTAACAGGGACCAGACTTCCCTTCCCACCTGAAACGACCAAAATAACTGGACAAAATATAAGAACAGTTTTCAAGACACTGGACATCAAGCAACAAAGAACAGAGATCTCTGGGAGATGGGAAACAAGATGAGTCCTACAAATACCCCAGTTTACTGTTTTGAGTTCCAGGCCACAGGAGAGGGAACCTGGGTGGGGCTGATAGTCTGAGGAGAGCATCTATATTAAAAAAGAAAGTTTCATAATAGTGACTTCAGATTCCAGGATACTAGGAAAAGAAGGGCAAATTAAATCCAAAGCAGAAGACATTAAATAATAAAGATCAGAGCCAAAATCAATGAAAGAGAAAAAAGAAAATTATAGGGAACAAGAAAAGCAAAAATGATTGTTTGAAAACAATGAAAGCAATAAACCACTTGCCAAAGTGATCAGGAAAAAAGAAAATCTGTCTCAATTTACCAATACCAGTAAGGAGAGAAACGAGAATCTCTACAGATTCTACAGGCATTAAAAACATTAAAGGAAATACTAGTAACAACTTTATGCCAATAAATTCAACAAGGGAAATGATATGGACAAATTCCTAGAAGACACAAACTCAAGGAGAACCTAATTAGTTTTATAGCTATTAAATAAACTGAAATGTTCATTAAAATCTCCTCCCTACTACCACCAAAACAAACAAACAAAAAACAAAAACAAAATAACCTTCAGGTCTAGGTGGCTTCACTGATGAATTCTACAAAACGTTTAAGGAAAAAATACTATTCAAGACAAACTCTTCCAGAAAGTTGAAGAAAAGGCAATTATTTATCAATTCATTCCATGGGGCCAGCATAACCCTAATATATATATTTTATTTTATTTTTTTTTATTATTATTATTTTAACGTTTATTTATTTTTGGGACAGAGAGAGACAGAGCATGAACGGGGGAGGGGCAGAGAAAGAGGGAAACACAGAATCGGAAACAGGCTCCAGGCTCTGAGCCATCAGCCCAGAGCCCGACGCGGGGCTCGAACTCACGGACCGCGAGATCGTGACCTGGCTGAAGTCGGACGCTTAACCGACTGTGCCACCCAGGCGCCCCTATATATATTTTAAAAAAAAACACATTACAAGAAAACTACAGACCAATATATTTCATGAACTCAGATGCAAAATTTCTAAACAAAATATTAGCAAATTAAATCCAACAATACATGAAAAGGATAATACATCATAAACAATTGGGGTTTATCATTTGAAAATCAAAGCAATTTATCATGTTGCCAAATTAAAAAAGAAAAACACCACATGATCATCTCAATAGATATAGAAAAAGCATTTGACAAAAGTCAACATCTATTACTGATTTTAAAAAACAAAAACAAAAAACCCCAACTCTCAGCAAACTAGGAACAAAAGGAAACATCTTCAACAGCATTTACCAAAACAAAACAAAACAACCCTACTACTAATTACAGACTTAACAGTGAAAACTAAATACTTTTTCACTAATATCAGAAATAACAGAGATGTTCACTCTCACCACTTCTATTCAACATTGTATTGACAGTTAATAGCCAGTGCAATAAGGCCAAAACAAAAGAAAACAACAACAACAACAAAAAAACACAAAAAAACAAAACCAGAATGAATAAATGGCATCCAGATTGAAAACAAAGAAATAAAATGGTCTTTAGTTGCGGATGACATGATTGCCTATTTAGAAAAGCCAATGAAAAATACATAAAAGCTATTAGAATTAAAAGATGAGTTTAGTAAGGCTGCCAGATACAAATTCAATACACAAAAATCAATAGTATTTCTATACACTATCGCAACAATTGTTTAAAACGCCCAGGATTTGGTTTTTATTCAGGATGGTGAGGCTGATAGATCAGGAGATAACTGTTACTGAAAAGTTATTTTGTTACTCACATTTCCCAACAGGAGAGGCAAACTATGTCACTCAGAGCCACATGGGGAAGCATCTGGGTCAGTCAGGAGGCAGACAGAGCGAGAGGAAAGGATGGGCCAGAACTTCTGTGATGTTTCACAGAAAAGAATGGGAAAGGCAGGGTAGGTGAGCTGAGCAAGTTTAGGATTAGAGTTTGAATAATTCTGTCAGGCTCTGGGTTATACCAGTGATCCCTGGTTGTCTGGTACCTGGCCCTGGAAGAATTTAGGACAGGAGAATTTTAGTGGTCCTGACTGCAGAAGCCTGATAAGAGGAAGCAGATGCGGGTATGGACTTGAGATTAGTTGGTCTGCATATCAAAGATGTGCCTGCAGGCAATTTTCTTGCTATCTCTAGGAAATAGCTAACCCTGAGTGGAAGCAGTCCCGCTCCAGGTCTGCAAGGGGCTTAAGACATCAATGTATTATAAATACAGAAAGTAAAAAACATAATTAATACATATGAGCAATTAGAAATTGAAATTTTTAAAATACCATCTGAAAGAGCATCTAAAAATGTGGAATAGAGGAAAATCTGTCAAAAGATGCCTAAGACCTGTAAGTGAAAATTACAACACATCACTGAAAGAAATTTAAGAAGACCAAAATAAAATAAATGGAGAGATTCACTTTGTTCATGGGGCAGAACACTCAATATTAAGATATCAGATGTTAACTCTTACCAAATTCATTTATCAACAGATTGAACACAATTCTCATCAAAACCAGAGGCTTTTTTTAAAGAAATTGACAAGCTGATTCTAAAATTCATATGGAAATGCAAATGACCTGAAATAGACAGAACTTTTAATTAGAACAATTATGTAATACTACATAATTTCAACTTAATATAAAGCTACTGTAATTAAGACAGTATGGTAGTGTGGTAACAGCATCAAGATAAACAGATCAATGAACCAGAAAAAAAGAGTCTAGAAACAGTTCTATTTATATATGGACAAAGATGCAAAGACAATGCATTGAAAAAAGGGCAAAACAATCAGGTATCCATATGCAATATATATACATACACACATATATATGTATATGATAAACCATATATAAAAACTCAAAATGTATCCTATACATAAAGATAAAACCTAAAACTATAAAAGTGCTAGAAGATAAAGAGAAAAAATCTTTGTGACCTTGGGTTAGGCAATGATTTCTAAGATAAGACACCACAACCCCAATCTATAAAAGAACTGGTAAATTGGGCTTCTTCAAAATTTAAGTCATTTTCTCTTTGAAAGACACTGTTAAAGAGAATGAAAAGCCAAGCCACAGACAGAAAATATTTGCAGATCTTATATAATAAAAGACTTGTATCTAAACTATATATTTTTAAAAACACTCAAAACTCAGTAAAGGGAAAGATTCTGGGAAGATGGTGGAATAGAAAGCACCAGGAATCTGTCTCCCAACCTAGACAGCAATTTCATTGGCATGATCTGTTTGATGTGACTGTTTTATAACTCTAGAGTCTATTAAGGCTTGCAACTTCCAGAGTTCCAGAGACCTGGATGGTAAGTTTTGGATACATTCAGCTCTTAGCAAAATAGCAGCTATGCATCCTACCCATGAGGTGGGCAGCTGTGCACACGTTCCTGGAGCAACTTACAAACAGCTTGCAGAAGCTAGGTTGGGCAAAAAAGACCCTGTCCTCCAAACATCAGAGAAAAGAGATCCTGTCCTACAAATATCAGGATTTGTGTGCTAATAGCTGACTGCTGCTTCTGATCACAGAAGAGCAGAGGACAGTGGACATCTGGTTTATTGCATCTTTCCCCATTGTTGTAAGCCTCTCGCCAACAAGTGACTTCCAGAGTTTTAAACAACAGTCCCCTTTCCCCTCCCTGCCTGCATTTCATTTTTCACCCTTCTCCTTTCAGGAGACAGACATTAAAGACTAAGACATTCAAAGACAATTACAT